AATTAACGCACTATTTCAAAAGAGTTTTCATTGGTGTCACCTCAAATAATTATAAAATCGGTTTATTCATTTATAAAAGCAATTATTCTCTACAAAAAAACGAATTGATAATTGAATGTTCATTTTCGATAGACATCAATTAAAGATCACTTACGAATAAGACCAGGAGATGAAAAGCATAATGAAACACAATTTTTTTTGTCCTCAAATGAATGAAAAACATTTTATTAGAGCCTTTCAAATAAAACTTGGAACATTTCTTTGTTTTCAATGGGGAAGAAGCATAAATAAACAAGCAGTCGCAACGATTGGCTAAAGTATGCACATAATCAAATTCGTGTTCTACTCAACTTTACCACTGGTAAGCGGACCTTTTGAGGGTAAAATGGATGCATTAAGAGCATATTAAAGCAAAAGGAAACACTATTGCGATTTGAAACATTGTGTAACTATTGTTTTGAGCCTTGAAAATGCCGTTTTCTTTCATCTTCACATTAGCTGTGTACAGATGCTGCAAATTTGCACCAAACTATTCATAAATATCAACTTTACTTACTTAATTGTAAAGATATTTGTTTCGTTACTTTAGAGGGAAAGAGCAGGCCCACAGATTCAGGATGATTTATTTATGAAATCATTATTTTGGAAATGTTGCTCATTTACTCTGATCACCAAAGAGGATCATTCTATCTTACCTTTTACAGAATTCTGAAGTTCTTTTACAAATATTTTTAGTAAATGGGCAAAATAAATGACAAGATTTGTTTAGTTATAATTTACAAGATAATGATCGACTTCCTTAATGAGAATCTGAGATTATTTGATTTTATGGCGCTCCGTTTCCTTTCTTTTGTGGTAGCACCAACCATATAAACCCCGCAACTTGCTCATTGCTTAGGAGGCTTCAGTTATGGTTACAACTTTACTTACAAACACGTTTACCTTCATGCTGCATGCTCCAAGGCGTCCTAGCGCGCATTGGCATTTATGAAACCAAAAATTCTTTACTTCTAAATATTTATAATAATACGATTATAAACCAACAAGCATTTAAAAACATGATATATTGCTAATTTAAGCCGAACCGCATTTGCAAATATGGAATTTTATAAAGGAATCGCATAAAATGATCATTGGTATTATATGAATTAAAATAGAAACATTTTCAAGATAGATACTTATTTATTAGACGTTTAAAAAAACAGAGCATTTAATTAAATTAATGCTGATTTTGAAAGCCAATTTCTTGGCAAATAAAGCAGCCACGTATTGAAAAATTTTGTCTTTCAAATAAATCATAAAAAAGGCTTATTTAAAACGCGAAATATTCATCTCTTTTGAATGGCTGTAATTCCTACACCTAAACCTTCTGTCGAAAAACAAAATTGAAAATAATATTCTATGCGTTCACAAAAGTGTAATTTAGCCAATTATCAGCATTATTTTTAGTTAATTGTTTTTTTTTAATTTAGGCACCTGTTATAAGTTGGAATAAATTACTCAATAATTGCATTCTTAAAATTTAGCCTTACCTTCCATTATATAAACATTTGAAAGAAAAGCTTGAAACTTACGAATTGAAACGAAACAAATAACTTACCAATGAAGAATAGATTAATTTACGTAACTTCACTTATAGTGTAAATCTACCAAAATTCAATAATTTAGAAGTTATTGAAGTGAATCAAATATTTATTCATTTCAATTGGCAGGTGTTTTACTAGATATCATTAGCCATTTAGCTGACTTCGGTCTTCACAGAGGGAAGGTTCATCAAAGTAGCAGAAAGTCGAGGGGTATGGAACAGAAGAGCGATTCACAGATGTAAAAGAGGCAGACAGACACAAATATAGTTTGAGCCACAACAGCAACCTTGGAAATGTGGGACTTTAGTTAGATTGAGCTAAATCGTTAGCACGAGCCATAAATAAACAAGCAATAATCAGTAAAACCTATTTTGCTTTGGCATGTTGTTTAAGTGTTTATACGTTTTAGGGCATATTCCTTAATTTGAAATCAAAATAGGAAAGTTCTTAATTGCACGATATTAAGCAATAAAATTTTTAGTTCTTCCTTCCCGTTAAAGCATTCGCCGAAGTTAAAATGCTTTCGCATTCGAAGTATCCGATCAACTTAAATACATATTTATCATAGAATAATTTTATAAATCAGCTTACACAAAATGGAAAGGTTAAAATCATGGTGATCAAACTCTTCTTTGATTATCTTCACATCTTTTTTTTCTCGAAGCTTATTTAAACAAGACGTAAGACACTGGTACTCACGTCACTTACGGGAGTTATATTCTTTTTAAATTAAAGGCAGGAGTGTGATCCTAACACATTTATCTCGAGGGAAAAATTTTTTGTTAATTGAATACGCTTGAAATTTGCTCATAAAATGGAAAATAGTGTTGAAAGTGTTATTTAAATTACAAGCTTCATTTAGGTATTACATTCGAACATAAATTCTAAAAGTGTTAATTCATTCATATTTTTCTGTCCACCCCTTTGCTTCCACTTGTTCGGCGCGAAACCACTAACAACCTTTAATGTCAGGTTAAATCCCTTTTAATCCACGTTTATAACCATAACAATTATTAAAGTTTATATGTTACGTTGGCCAAAGGGAATAAGGGAAATCACTATCTTTCCTTTAGGTATGTCACCTGATATAATCTAATTAGAATGTGGGTACTCTTATTTTGGTTTAAATTCCCTTGCAAAAGTTTTAAACGTTTTCTTTCTTGGAATGAAATACAATACTTCTATTCCTGCGAAAAACTGCTATTTGTTGACAGTAATTTTGATATTATGGTATTTTAAGTACTAATAATTATCCATACTTCAAGTACTGTACCGATTAATCAATTTAAAGAATATCTCAAAAAATGCAATTATCCGATAAATGAATTACCATACTTGTTAAATCGATACAATTACGCCACTTCATTCATAATATTCATCTAAAAATTATTAATCATTGAGAGAAATCAAATTTACTTGGAATTATAACCTTAAACTTGGAAATCTTATCGGCAATTTAAAATGAGTTAAATTGAGTTAAATCGATGTTCTAAAATAGAGACCAATATGGATCAATTTGTAAAACAGCCGGCACCCAATTGTAAAGATTAAACTTCTCTTTGGATAAATTAACATCTTATTTTTGTTGGTCTGTTGGCAGATTGCTACAGTAGTAAAGCCTGACTAACTCAGAAGTCTCTGTGGCAGATTCTTCTACATCTTGCTAGACTCTCAGAACTAGCTAAGCTATAGCCCATCTATAAATTAAACAGACGTAAATCACGGAACACGTTTATTCAGTGAGTATCATGTGAGAATAGTGTACACGTGGGATCTTAATCATAATCACCATGATAGATTAGGTTAAACAAATGGAGGCTACTGATAGGCCACCGTTTGCAAGGCTACCGCTCACGGTGTTGTACGGCCGCACCTCACAATCCTGGCGTGCAGACACGCGATGACGCGTTAAGGGGGTATTCTGGTCTAGAGGCATGAAATTTAGGTCATTTTTGAAGTGCTGTAAAATAAGAAAGCAATATTTTTTCTTATCAGTTTACATATATATTACTTATTTACCTTAGAAGCATACAAAAAAACTTAAAAAAATATAAAGAAACTTAATTTTTTTATTTGTCAGCTGATTTAGAGGGGCGTTTCAAAAATATGGAGCATGGCCATACACACGATTTTGGCACTCCAAGCAATCGGAAATCTAACAATAAAAAAATCATTAATCTGCAATGATGTCGCAGTGGCTGGAACTATGGAAAAGAGTTAGCAATATCGTTTTTACAAAATGGCGACTGTCTAAGGTAAAAAACCATTTTTGCACCACTTTTTGACCATTCATCAATTTTTTAGAAATAGTAAAAATTATTATTATTTCAAATGGCAGGCTTCATGGTATTTATCACTAGCACTTACACTCTGACTTCAGCTTCCCCCAAGGGTGGGGGGGTACATTTATAGCAGTTAAATAATAGCAGTTAATTAGCTGTCTTCTTACTTCTCAGTATCTCTGGCTTTCCGTCGATGTCCTTAGGGCTGGACATCAAATCAGGTGGGTCATCACCATTTCCTCCTGTAGGTTACATAGGGGGAATGCGGGTTGAGGGTATACTCCCAATCTGTGAAGATGTTTTGCCAAGCAATCGTTAGGTTACATAGAGGGCATGTGGGTTGAGTGTATACTCCCAGGCTACATAGGGGGCATGTGGGTTGAGTGTATACTCCCAATCCAGAGGGCATGTGGGTTGAGTGTATACTCCCAGTCTGTGAAAGGGCATATGGGTTGAGTGTATACTCCCAATCTGTGAAGGGGGCATGTGGGTTGAGTGTATACTCCCAATCTGTGAAGGTCCATGTGGGTTGAGTGTATACTCCCAATCTGTGAAGGTGTACATGTGAGTTGAGTGTATACTCCCAATCTGTGAAGGTGTTTATAGGCAATCGTGTTCGGTACGTAGTCTAAACTCATCAACGGCTATCTGTGAAGGTGTTTTGTCAAGCAATCGTGTCCGGTACGAATCTGTGCAGAGGGCATGTGGGTTGAGTGTATACTCCCAGTCTGTGAAAGGGCATATGGGTTGAGTGTATACTCCCAATCTGTGAAGGGGGCATGTGGGTTGAGTGTATACTCCCAATCTGTGAAGGTCCATGTGGGTTGAGTGTATACTCCCAATCTGTGAAGGTGTACATGTGAGTTGAGTGTATACTCCCAATCTGTGAAGGTGTTTTGATAGGCAATCGTGTTCGGTACGTAGTCTAAACTCATCAACGGGGCAATCCTGTCCGATACGTAGTCTAAACTCAGCAACGGCTTCGATTCTCGCCGCCGGGTATGTCGGAGAGTGCCACTGTCCACTATTTCTCCTTTGGGGCTATATCGGAGAGTGCCACTGTCCACTGTTTCTCCTTTGCTATATCGAAGAGTGCCACTGTCCACTGTTTCTGATTCTTGGCTAGTCGGCTATGTCGGAGAGTGCCACTGTCCACTGTTTCTCTGTTGTTCGAGCTTTGAGTTCGTTGAACCTTGAGGTCTGGAAAGCCGGGTATGTCGGAGAGTGCCACTGTCCACTATTTCTCCTAGCTATATCGAAGAGTGCCACTGTCCACTGTTTCTGATTCTTGGCCCAGCCGGGTATGTCGGAGAGTGCCACTGTCCACTATTTCTCCTGTATGTCGGGAGAGTGCCACTGTCCACTGTTTCCCCTTTGTTCTTGAGTTCGTTGAACCTTGAGGTCGATTCTTGGCTAGTCGGCTATGTCGGAGAGTGCCACTGTCCACTGTTTCTCTTTTGTTTGAGTTTTAAGTTCGTTGCACCTTGAGGTCTGGAATTCTCTTCTGTAACCTTGACCCATTGTGTGGAAAGACATCGGGCGGTCCATGCATTGCAAATATCCCTTTCATAGAAAGTGTGTCAGCAAGCTCGTTGCCTTTAATGCCAATGTGACGAGGAATCCATTGTAGGACCACTGT